CAACTCAGCATTTATATTTATCGGTGCATGGTATGGTTTGGCTGCTTGAAAACATTCCCATTGGTTACCATTTATCTACAGGGCATTACTTGGACTGCTTCTGGCCTATATATAATATGTAATCCTACTGAGAATGATCAATTTGTATACCTTTTGCTCACACAATATGCTGCTTCTTTCTGTCCATTGTACATAATTGGACAAGAAAACTTTTGTTCACTCCGTGAAAATCTTTTGCATTAAACAAACCTTTTAAACTAAATGATTGAGTGCTTTTACTTTCAAACTAAAAGTTCTCGATTCATTAACATATACCTGTTTTAACTTGTTTTGTTTTTTTTTTACTTTCAACTTTATAAGTCTGTGCTTTATTTATTGCAGCTTCTTGGCTATAACACCCTTGAAAAAAGTTTTTTTTATCTCGATAATATTATCCTGGTTAAACAAAGGCTATGTTTAAAACAAAAGATGAAAATTGGAAAAGCAGCACATATCCACTATTAAAGTAGTATAGGATCTGAAATGCTGAGGGTCCTTTATTGTTTTCAAGATACCTTCTTTAAGGCATGCCTTCATAAAGTGAACAAATTACCAGGAAATTATAAATTGAAATATAACAGAATGTGCCAGCAAACTGAAAGTGTTCTTGCTGGGTCTTTCAGCAGGATATTGATCCGGTAATGATCAATATTTTATTTTGCTGCCACACAGTGAGCCAGATGACAAAAGGTATGAAATTGCCCAAAGCACAATAATAGAAATCTGCAGCAATTTATTTTCTGTGTGAAAAGAAACAGGTTGAAACAATTTGAGATCCCTAGGAGACAAGTCCTGCTTATCCAATTATTAGTGATTATATGACTTATGGTAAACTGAAGCAAAAAAGCAGAGTAGATTACCATTTGTTTTTTCTATTAACAAAAAATACAAAACTGATTTTTTTTCTTTTTACATTACACTGAATTGATCATAAGGTAATAAATATAATTTTGTTGCTAAAATATGCAGTAATATGACACCAAATTATCTCTTTGCCATAAATGTTTGATACGCAAATGTTCTATTCATTAAATTTGTTTTAGTCTCAGTAGCAAAAACAGATTACCTTTTTTTATTATTAGAAACAAAGACTTTATTAACTTTTAGTATGAGTAAAGTCAAACAGCTGTTTTCCTTTAGTTTTTTTTTTTTGCATTCACCCACATTTGTTGCATTTAAATACAATAACTGCAATAGCAGTTTGACGAGTTTATAAAACTGAAAAGGTTTGTTGCAGTACACCTTGTTGCTTACAAGATGGCAGTCAAGGCTCCGTTTAGGGTCAAATTGACAGCCAGTGTGGTGCCCCAACTTGATAGGGAAAATTGACAATAAATGAATAAACTTTGTGAATTATTTGTTAAAAGGGCACCAATGCTACAAATATTGTAATAAATCATCTTTATTTTCTTTTAAAAATACCTCAAAACAAAATAAAGGAAAAGCAATCAATCAAATACAAGTTAAGAATTTAATTCCTAAAACAGATTTTACAGAGCTTTGGGTTACAGTAAACTAAGCTACCACCTCAATCCACCTCACCCTACAACCTCATCACTACCATAAAAAATGGTGGTGGCGGTGTCATGGTTTGGATGGATTTTTTTTTTAGCTGAGACAAAAAGAACAGTCCTAAAATGCATCACACTAATATAGTGTAGTTTTAGCATTTATTCAAATGTGTGTCTCCTGAGGCAAAACTTAGAAGGGTGTCCGGTTAAAAAGAAAGGGAGGCATAGGTGCAGTTACCCTTGTTGCTCACAAGATGGTGGTTAGAGCTTGCCTTGAGTTGAAACACAGCAGCTTCAGTAATGGCTGACCTGAGCATAAACAAAAAAAACCTAAGAAATGGTCAAACTCTTTAGACCATTTATCATGAGAGAGAAAATGCAAAACAATAATAAAAAAAAAACTCTTAATTCCTGGAAAATACATCCCAGACTTAGCAAATATGGGAACTTTTTTGTATACCTAACCCCACAAGTGTACTTTATCTTAAACTTCTTAGAGCTCTGGTTTTCCATCTCTGTACAAATAAGGCCACACATCTGCATATTTACTTGAAAACCCTGCCACACATACAAACACCCACACATCCAAGCATATACAACCATGTGCACAAACACAACGTGTGCAAACTAAAAGTGAGTTCTCGCAGACAGGAAATGATGTCAGTTCTTGTCTCCAAGGAGATGGAGGCAGTTGCTAAGATACTGTGACACTCGGATTTTTCACTCTATTTTCTCTCCTCTCTCTCTGTCACACACACATACACACACACACACAGATGTCACCATGAATAAGTTGAATCTCTCTCTTGTATCTTTTTTATTCTCTTGGACATAAGTCAACCTAATGTTTTCAACTCTATAAATAGTCACAAAATAATAAAGAAAAAAATCACTTGGTTCATGATCCCAATTAGGGGGTTAGGGACATTAAATACAGCTTAAACTTTTTGCTTCTATGAGCATCTCTTACGAGAATTAGGCACAGATGTAGTCTTTGAAGTGCATGCAGTAATTTGGTCGCCCAGATTTAGATTGGGGGTGTAGCTGAGAGACTGATTGACTGATGGGTACCAGCTCCGTTCCAAAGCTTTTCCTCAGTGTGAGCAGCACCTCTCTGGTGCTATCAGCATGCCACATATGTCTTGTTTCTAGCATGTTGCTGCCAAATCCACATCAGCCTCCTCTTCTCCTCCCCTGTGGCTTCTTAACACAGCATTAAGAGTTTATAGGGTTTGGGTTGTAGTTGGAAAGCGTGCATCCATCCTATGGATTGTGGGATTAGCTACCTTCCCTATGTTTTCACTCCAAGACCCTTGCTGTACTGATGACACAGGCAATACAGCAATGAGTGTTTGTCCATTTAATGTGCACAAATGCATGCCCTTCTCCATTGCTCTTATCCACTGCTCCTATACACACACACACAAGCATGCCATACATCCATAAGAGGGATATCAGATTCAATGTGCAATGACACAGAGAGGACACACAGTGGAAAGAGGGGAAGGAAGGGGAGCAGAGGCGCAGGGTGGGTTTGGCATGGAATCGTTTTAAATGGTGCGGAAGGCAAAAAGATATAGAGAAAAAGAAAACAAGTGACAGAAAAAGCGCTGATAGGCAGTTTGGACCAGAGGACTGGATGTAGGTGAAGATTTTTAACATGGCTGAGGGAAGAACGAGAAAAGAGGAGGGGGTTAGGAGAAGAGGGAAAGGAGGAATATCCTCTGCACCACTGTGTGACTGGAAATTTAATAGAGGGGGAGAGATAGAGGGAGAACGAGAGAGAAAAGGAGTGAGAGGTAGATGGGAGAGAGAAAGAAGGAGCCAGCCGAGGGGGGAGGGGAGAGGAAGGAGAGGCAAAAAGGCACAGAGACCTCATTGCTGTGCAGCTTTCAGCAAAAGCTAGTGGATGGAGGACAATGGTCGCTACCGCATTCACAGAGAGGGGGGGGGGGGGGGGCATATAAAGAAGAGAGGGATGGAGAGGAGGAGAGAAAGTATATATCTGGGGGGTCTTTCTGAAGCATCAGTGGCCTTTTTGGTTCTTTGACCTTTAGTGCGTGCTAAGAAAGACCAAAAATGGGCACAAATTTATTTTTACCCACCAAGTTTTATGAAAAGCTATAAAAGGAAGCTTCTCTGCCTTTGAACTAAGACCTAAACCAAAGGCTGTCCACACATGTAGACACAAGCATGGCAAAGATCAACAGAGGGAGGCCACTAACTGTAGGAGTGGTATCTTGTTGATGGTCCTACTAATTAAAACATGCAGCGCACTGTTGGTGGCATCTGATAGATGCTCACAAAATGCTTACTATAGGAACATTTTCAAGACTGAGCGTTGGGTTTTTTAGTCATGTACAAAGCTCAAAGCTGACCGACTTTTTTGCTTCTCAAGTCTGGATGCTGACAACAACTAAACGCATAGGCAGCTTTGTTTATTTACAGCATTAAATCTACTGTTGAAGCTTAGGGGCAAAAGTAGACATATGCAAAGTCTGCAGAAAACAGACATCATTAGTTAGCAAGATTTAATCTTA